CAAATTCATAGTTTAACTTCAGGTGCCCTCAGTACCAGGGCTCCAGACCGAGACAAAATGGTCGCATTTTGCGACCAAAATTTGAGAGTGTGCGACTGAATGTGAGGTGTGAGAATGTGAATGTGAGAATTCAGCTGGTTGAGGTACTGTAAGGAAACGAACTCTATGAACTGCGAGTGTTGCAGTCATACATTTGTTAAGTATTGTTTGTAAATGTGAAATGACCAAAAGGTTACTAAGCACTTTGTTACTAAGCACAAGGCTTGCTACGATAGTCTGTTTTACCGGTGTTCAGAAGCAACACCGGTTACATCTTTTGCCCACCACGGCACCGTCCCCCCACTGTCGATAAAAAAAAAAAAAAAAAACAAAACATTTAGTTCAGTTAGAGAACAGACACTTTAAACTGAACATGTCTGCTTAATAAATCTTGAGCCGAACGAGAGTCGCCGCATAGATCAGCGAGCAACAGGAGTCAGGTTTCATTCATCACGAGAGCGAGGAGCTGACTGACAAGGTGACTGCGGAATATGTGTCAAAGCGAATTGTAAATAAATTCTCGCTCTGTTCTGCTCGCTCCGCTCCGGTTGACATGTGCGGCCGTGCACATGTTAGTTTTGTTTTCAAATTGGCGCCAATTCAGGGCACAGCAACAAAACAGTGCTGCTCCGCACCATTCTGAATGCCTGTGCAAACGCACTCATTTTACGTTTGCCTTTAAATTAGCGTTTTGAAAGCCCCGCCGGTGTTACCGGTATTACCGGTGTTGTCACACGTAGATTAAACGATGGGAAAATATCCTCACCGTCACATCCCTACTAAGCACTTTTTTTTTTATTCTGAATGTATGGTATATTTTTTTCATATTTGTACTGTCATGACAGCGATGGTGCTGTCGGTTTACCTTGTTGTTGCATTTTCAAGTGCACAATAAAATGTGACACTAAATGTGAAACAGCACATTGTAATTTCTGTATCTATTATCGAAGTATTAATTAGTAATACATTGGAAATTAGTAGAAATGTGTGTATTTGGTTAGCATGTTGATTTACGGTGTGTGCCCCTACATTTTCTGGTTGTGCCCCTAAAATTTTCTTTTGGGGGCCACTGTGCTCCTCGTGAAAAAAGTTAGTCTGGAGCCCTGAGTACTTCAGTGGACCTCAGCGTAAGCTGAATGCACCACAGATGGACATGCTCTCATTTCCAGTTTTTTAATCAACTGTCTATAAGATGTTTTCAGGTGACATCTTGACTGTAGATGTTTTGAGTATCCTTTGTTTTCTCCTACTGAGAAACTTTCAATAAGCTGTTTCAGGGTTCATTTTGTTGATCTGTTTGGTGTCAGATTGAGATTTTATGAAGGCCACACGACCACGGTCTAATTTAGAAAGTTTAGAGGGATCCCCCCCCCCCCCCCCCACTGCAGCCGCTAAATGTCAAGGGTGGGAGAAAAAAATTATTCTCCGATGCATCACGATTCTTTCTTCAACTATTTTTAATTGTTTTGGAAACCTTTAGAATTGATTCTGAGCTTAGTTTTTGTGTGTGTGTGTGTGATGGCACTTTTGTACTAGAGATGCGCAATCAGCTCTAACGTCACCTGAATCCACTGTTAAAAATAAATCATCCAACCAGAACCTATGATTTTCTCTTGATTTAGGCCCCATTTACACTGCATGGTTCAAGTGACCCAAATCCGATTTTTTCCTCTCATGTGGCACAGATCGGATATGACCCATGAACGTGTAAGCAGGAAAAAAACGCATGGATTCCGATTTTCTCAGATCGGATTCAGGCCTCACTCATATGTGGTAATAAATCGGATATGTATCGGATACGTGCATTTGCATGTGCCATGTAAGCAGACAAATCTGATATTCCCCAGTAAATGCGAGTCGTACGTCATTAAAAAAGTGACGTCAACTCAGGTGGACACCACCAACTGAGATCACATGACTTATTATAGGCGTGATGGAGGACGAAGGATACACACAGTGGAGCAATGCGGAGGTTTCATGTCTTTTGAGTGTTTGGGGCGAAGAGACAGTGCAGGCAAAAATGCAGGGTTGTTACAGAAATAAATCCGTGTTTGAAGACATTTCACGAGATATGGGGAGGCACGGTTTTAAGCGCTCGTGGCTACAGTGCCACCGTAAGATAAAAAGCTTAATGACTTTTAAAAATATTGTGGAAAGCAAAACACTGGATAATTTTATTCGCATCTGCATCCATTGTATTTCGTGCTGTTTTACTTCCTTTTCTGGGTCAGAACGTCTACATTTGGTAGTTTCAGCAGTGTATAGTGTAAATGCAAAAATCGGATACGGGTCACTTTTAAAAGATGATGTAAGCGGGTCGTCAAAAAAATCGGATTTGGGCATCAAGACCTTCAGTGTAAATGCAGCCTTAGATATCCACACCTGACCCGCACCCGATTGTCACATTACAATGATTCTAATATACAGTATTAAGCGTGATGATATGGTAACATATATTAAAGCTATGGTATACGATTTTGAAAATCGGTCGAGAAAGCCTGAATTTTTAAAAAAACTCATCCCGCCCCTCCACACACACACCCCTCCCCTCTGTGCTACCTGATCCCTCCCACCGGGAAACGAACTGAACTACGTCACTCAGTCAAGCTGTGATCACCGGTAGTAAACATCGGAACTGAGATGTAATGTCAGATCTAATGACCTCGCTAATGACACATCATATGTAAAATTGCCTTTAGACACTTGAACTTAGTTGCTTCATCAACAATTCAATGTCACGTTTGAGTTCACGTCAACGCAAGATTAGCAACACATGAAATGTTCTAAACTCCCCACCACCATTAGTATAATCCTACTAGTATTGCTAAGGTTTTCAGTAATTGTTATTGCAGCACACAGCGCATCTTGTTCAAATTTCGATCGGCTCGAACAGAAACCCGCTAACTTAGGCCAACTGAAATATATTCAAGGACTTCAAGAAATATAATTACTTTGACCCGTGATAGGCGATGCTAAACGGCTAACATTCCAATGCCGACCGGCAGCATGAGCAAGGTGTCAAACTGATAAAAAGCTATTTTTGTAACACGTCCATAAAAGTATAAATAAATGTTTACCTGCTCAACAAAAAGTCAGCCGTGTCAGCGTCGGTCTTTAGTCCCAGATCTTCCTGAAGCTTCCTCCAACGGTCAATGGTGGACCCTATATTTATATCCTACTCAAAGTTCGGCGTTCTTCACATTTTTTTTTAATCTCTGCTCGTTCCTCTAATGACTTTCTCTTTCGTCCTTACTTTACTGTAGGGGCAAGCAGGGGACGCTTGCTGCTGTCTTTTTTTTTTATCCATTGCTGATATGCTACTTAACTAGCTACCATAGACTGTCAGCTGCTTGCTCGCGCAATTTCATGACGCAGGAGGGGTGCGGTGGGGTGGAGACGCGAGCGCCAGGCGGAGTTTCAGTGGAGCTGGTGATTGGATGAGAGCAGTTGACCAATGTAAGCTGTCCGGCCGGACAGCTTACATTGGTCAACTTCTCTGCGGCTGTACAGCTAATAGAGTGAATGGATTTTTTTCATTCTTTTTTCTATTCATATTGTTAGGATTGTACTATATAACCATAACCAGCATCTAAACGAGGATATTAATAATGAACAATCTTTGAAATCGTATACCCTAGCTTTAAGCAAAGGCTAGGTATAGACTTTATTAGTTTGTCATATACAGCGCTTCACAGCTGTTACATATCACATACCCAGCTCTTGATTTGTCCTGGTTAAGTACTTCTCTGAAATGTTCCCACACTCTACTTTTCTTTCCTTCTCTTGACTTTCTTTCCTTCTCTTGTTTAGTTTAATTCTTGAAATTTCTCTCGGATCTGGTTTGCCTGCATTGCTGCTTAAACAAGTGGACCCTGCAATTGCGTAGCTTAATGAGTCTCCAAATTAGACCCTGTTGAAAAATTAAGCTTTAAATACTTTAATATTTCCAATAATAATTGATCAAATCCACCCTCAATTAATTGGTGTGTTATTTATTTCTTGGCCTGCCCAACCAGTGGATTGTCCGCAGATATAACAATGATCTGTGCATCAATATTCTGTCTTTAGCTTACCATTGAAAAAGTACATAAACTTGCATAAGGTTTCATGGTTGACGTGAAATACAAGGGCGATTATGAGATTCATTGCACAATCACACATCTCTTCACTGCTTTGTGAGAAACAAGCAGTTTGCTTGAAAATGTTTGGTTTCACCCTCCGGAATTTCAGTGTTTTACCTTCCAAATACTCAATTATTCCGTTTGAAATGCAGTATAAATTTGACACATGCAACTCACTTACTGGCAGATGTCTGCTTTCAAATGCTCATGTGCTCTTTGTGTGTGTTGTGAAGGATGCTTGTGGCATGCGACTGCGATTTTGTGGAAGCGGTTAAATGCACATGCAACTCCAAATTTTTTTATGATGTGAATTAATGTAAACACAGGCAGTTGTCTTACAAAACTTCTGATATGTTAAAATAGATCTTCGGCTTTAGTATGAATGCAGCCCATTAGACCTGCCGTGTCTATGATGATATAGCAATAATCAAACTGCAGTAATGCTGAGAAAAGAGAAAAATCCCTCACAGCCCTTGTCTGGAAAACTTTGACGCTGAGAGCACTTTAATTGCTTCTGTGTTTTTAAGCTATATTTAGTTTTGATTTATTAGCTTGAAGTTATTTAAATTGCAATTTTACATGCAGTTGTTTTGATTTATTAGTTTGTAATATTTAAAAAAGTACTTATACAAGTCCTTTAATAAAAATGCTGAAATTTGATATTTAAAGTTGGTAAAAAAAAAAAAAATGTAGATCAAGAACTGTTTTCGAATTGGATTGTGATTCCCAGAATTGATCTGAATCATTCTAATATGATTGTGTGCCTAAGATTCCCATCCCTACTGAACATCTTTAACTTCTATTATGTGATTTCTTTGAACCTTTTTCCCCTATAAACAGAGTCTTTGAATGCCACAGAGAAGCCTTCCTCACTCACACCCTCCTCTTCCTCTGCTGCTGTGTCTGGCTTAAGCATGGCCAACTCAGCCAGCGGCTCCTCTGGCTCCACAGTCCCGGTTTCTCCGGTGATGCAGTCGCCGGCCCCGCCCACTCTTCTCCAAGACCCCTCCCTCTTACGCCAGCTCCTCCCCGCTCTGCAAACGGCCCTTCAGTTGAACAACGCCAGTGTAGACATGGCCAAGATTAATGAAGGTAAGTGTATTGCATCTCAGTCAACGGATAGGATATGGACCGCTGAAGCTGTTAGCAAACATTTTTATCCAAAACATTAAAGGGACAGTCCCACTTGAGTAACCTGCAGAGGTTCTGCAGTGATGGCGGTAACCATTGAGCTCTGAGCTTACGACTTCAATGTGGTGTGTTTGCAAGTATAGGTTTTGCAGCTTTATTCTTGTTGGGTTTCTTGTACCACTCTAGCCTGGGTTTCCACTGAAGCAGTTTGTGTATACCAATGGATCCAACATGGCAGCAGACGCGAAGTTACCTTTCGATGCAGCCTTACGGCCGTTTCACCCCGCAAGCGTGAGCGGCACTTGAGCAGCGCGTCAGCGTAACTACATCGTCACTGCAGCTGCAGACGCGCGAGTATTCACACTCAAAGCGTTTGTACAGTGTCACAGCAGCGGCTCCAAAGCTACATATATAAGCGAGCAATTCTTTACAAAGACAACTATACATTTGTTTTTAGAAGTTGGTCATTTATAACATTGATAGTCTTGAAAGTTTGTAATGGGGAGGTGTACAACATTCGCATAAATTTTAAACAACAAAACAACCCAGAAAATGGCTCCAATCTATTAGTTTCAGTCATACTTTCGATATGTTTACAAGACTGCAAACTCCGCGAATAAAAAACAAAACACAAACCACACACTCGGGTTTGATTTGGGTTGTGCTATGTAGCTGTCTGTGTGTTATATAAACTAAAAGAACGTTTATATATAATATTTTCTGGTTAGTTTACTTTAGTTTTTTTTTTATATAATACACAACTTTCACCCAAACTGAATAATTAAAAAGTTTTTACCGGGTAGCCTAAATCTTCTATAAATATTTTTGAGTCTTGATTTTCTTTTATTTGCCTATACTCCAAGTTTTTGTTAACTCACTAGACATGCTTATTCTGTGCATTTTGGGCACTTTTTGTGTGAAATCATATTTATTTTTGTCCATCAAAAGTGTGCTTTCACTTTAATTGAGCGTGAGCAGTGCAGCAAAAACAGATTCGACGCCGAAACCCCCGCTTCACTGCTGCTCACGCGACGCTCCTGCTCGACGCTCACGTCCTGCTCCCAGTGTGAATGCACTCATTGATTAACATGCATGACGGAAAAAATACGCGCTGCTCACGCATGCGGTGTGAAACGGCCGTTAGATACACGCCATCGTGTACACATAAATCTCGGACCCATCGTCGTCTTCCTCGTCTAATTTCTGTCGCAATTGAAACGATTGGCTATGAGCTACGTACAGGCGCATTTGATAGACATTCTTAGAACCCAATAAACGGCTCTGGGCATTCGTAAACCACGCCTCAAATACGAGAAAATTAACATGTGGTTCCCAGACCCAAGTCTCAATGAGACTTGGGTCTGACGTTAGCCAGGCTAGTACCACTCAAGCAGGTGTATAGAATTGCTTGTGTACTTGTGCATGCTGGGCTTGCGTCAGCTTTTCCTCTTAACTTCACATCTCAGGGATGAATCATAGCTTTGCTGCTTCTTGAACATGGCCTGTGTGAATTGCCATTTGCGAGCGCGTCATTGCTTCTCACTTTCCATCATTAGCCGCATTTGCAAACTGATACTCAATTACCCGCTGATTCTCCGAGCTAGAGCTAGGGCAAATGAGAAGTTTGGTCCAAATAGTCTGGATTGGAGTTTGCTCTCTAACCGCTGCATATTGCACGTGTCTAAACAGTGAATTGGCATGACCCAGTGCCAGGACTGTTGTATCCTTTCCTCAAAATGGATGAATATTTGAATTTGTTGCAGTGCAGTCCCTGTAGTTCAAGCTGTGGTAAAGTGCTTTGCCTAAAGGTGTTCAGTTCTCAATCACCCCACTTGAAACTGAAACTTAAACATATTTTCTGACCTAGGGTTGTCATGATACCAATATCAGTGAAATTTCACTATTTTAAAAAAATAAAAAAATAAAAATACATGTGTATATGCTATTGAAAGTTAAATAAACTGGTTCAGAAGTTTGGGGTCAGTAAGTTGTTGTTTTTTTGTAAAATTGAGGAAAAAAAATTATAAGAAATGTTTCTTGAGCACCAATCAGCATATTAGAATGATTTCTGAAGGATCATGTGACTGGTGTAATGATGCTGAAAATTAAGCTTTGCCATCACAGGAATAAATTACATTTAAAAATTATATTAAAATAGAGAAGTTATCTTAAAATGTCGTAATATTTGACAATATTACTTTTTACTGTAGACACCTTTTATCACTCTGAATGATTTCAGTACTGTTCTTTTGACTGCTTCCTGTCACATTTTGTCCTTGCTTTCTTGCTTCATTGTGTTCTCTCTGTGTTCTCTGTAGTTCTTACGGCTGCAGTAACTCAGGCTTCGCTACAGTCCATGCTCCATAAGATCTTGACTGCTGGTCCGTCTGCCTTCAACATCACAACTCTGCTCTCCCAGGCTACTCAGCTGTCCAGCCAAGGTAAACACACGCACACACACACACAGCCCTAGGCTGGGCGATATGGCCTAAAGAAATTCCCTGATTTTTTTTAACAAATCCGATTTTGATTTAAATCGATTTTTTTCTTTTTCTTTTCTATTTAAAAACAATCTGCAGATGACAAATAAATTGTTCAAAACTTGTTTTAACTTTTTGTTTTGATTTCCCTTCTGGAATTTGGTCTGGATTTCCCCCTTGGGGTTAAAGTGCTATCAGAAACAATAAGCCAAAAAGACAAAATTGCAGGCCCTGCCATTGTAAACAGTGAAAATGTAACATAACATAAAATGGGTGGATTTGGATTGGGGCATGTAAAAAAACAATGACAAAAAAAACACTTTCATCACAATAAGTGTATTATTGACAAAACATTTATTGACAACATTTGGTAACTAAACAGAATTTTATTAAGTTCAGTGACAACACAATGTTTACATGGTACAATGACTGGTATGTTACTGTTTTTATTATTGCTTGACACAAATTTTACAATTTCAATTCTTCTATTCAAATTTGCTTCAATATCGATTCCTTTGGATAAATATTAGGTACAGTAGATACATGTTAATTTTTCTCAAAAAAAAAAACCTCACTACAGAGAGCCCTATCAGCTGGTATTATTAAAGGTTAAAAATAACATCTCAAATTAAATATAATGCGTTTTTTATAATAACAACATTATAATATTTTAATGATATAGGTAAAAATATTTACCTATATCAAAATCCAACTCAATCCAATTTAAATCCAACTAACGTGCTATGGTCATTAAATGGCTTTCCTGAGGAAAATGTAACGTTACGTGACATTGTTCTCCAGCTGTTTTATGGACCTCTCTCCACGATTGAAAAACACTGACCTTCTCTTTCTTGTCTGTCAGTGTCCTTTGCTTCGCAATTTTTCTCTGCGTGAGAAAATGGATGTGTGGCGTGAGGGTGTGTAAAAAGTGACAATTGCTTGAGTCTCACGGTGAATTTGTGAGAGTTGGCAGCCCTGCGGATTCAGTTTGTAAGACTGTAGGTTGTTTTTTGGCGGGTGTGCTTGTGCTGCCACGGTCTTGTTCATTTGCCATGTTGTTTGTGTATCTCTATGGCAAACGCGCGGGGGGAGGGCTAAGCCCGAACTACGGGAGCGTCGGCAGATGTTAAAGAGAAAACCGATTTTCATTCAAACAAGTCGACATAAACTAAACATTCAACTACTTAATCGATAAAATCGATTTATCGCCCAGCCCTAACACACACTGCTGCTACTACCTCACTCTCAAACCTGCTATGTTTTTCATTTGTGCTACAATGTAGTCCAAACTAAATTCCTTCGACACATGGTTTTAGGGTCAGCTCTGTTTTGTGACCTGATCTTGAACTTTATAACTTGAGCTCATGGTTTTGATTGGTTGTTGGCGTGAGATTGTGTTGCTTGTTGTCGACTCATGTCAGCTGTGGGGTTCTGAGTCAGCTTCCTTGAGTTAGCAGATGGGGTTGGTAGCTTAACAAGGATCACACACAGGCTTGGCTGCTGCTGTCTGAGCAGATAATGAGCCACGTGGGCTTCAAAAATGATTTTTGGTTTTAACACAAGTAGCTTTGTGTATGGATTTGTCATACTGCATCTGTTATCTGGCAATGTCTTAATTGCATATTGAATATAGATTGTGTGTGTTAGATGGGGGTGAGTAATATCACCACAATCTAATTTCACAATACAAGTAATTTTATTTCACAGTAATGATAGATATCACCAATTGTTTATGTGAATACTTGCCAAGATGGGCATTTTGACACATTTTTGTGTTTTTGACCTTTTAAGTGCAGTAATCCTCAAAAGAGAACTCAATTTGACTGTGTGTGAATTGGGTGCAAGTGCACAGAAAGCTGCTGTCAGTGTGCCGGTACCAAATTGAGTTCTCTTTTGCAATTTATTCCTCTTTCTTTTATTAACTCTTTTGAATGTCAAGCGCGCCTCCTAATTTTTCTTATGTCTTTTCTTTGTCACTCTGTGTCAGTTACTTTTAGTAATGCGTGGATATATTTACATACTTTATATCATCATCGCCACAGCAGTGTGTGAATCTAATATGAAATGGGATCAGTCCGATTTTAGCGTTGGTTTTCAGATATTCATCATGTAGTCAATGGATAAAACTCGTACTGTGGTGAAACTAGGGGTCAGTGTCCATAGTGTTTCTGTGCTTGGTTGATGTTTCTATATTGGTATTTCTATAGTGCTCTGTTAGGGGATTTACAGTCAAAGACCCAGAAACGGAAATGATTAAGACAAAAGTCAGAATTATAATAAATTAAAGAGAAGTTTTATTGAAGATAGTTTGTAGTTTCATCAGCAGAAGTCAGCTTCAAGGCTCACAAAGTGTTCGTATGCCGCCCCGCTTACAGTTACAAAGATCACAGCAGTTATACCCTTCACCAAGGTCTAAGCTACATCCTTGCTTCAGGTTGAATGATTCTGATTGGCTAAGAAAAAGATAAACCGTTATTTTCCACACATATACTGAATTGAAGCAGCATTTTATCCAGAATCCACCCCCTTCACCTCTAAACTGTAAAGTGTTAAAAATCTATGTAAATCTTACTATGGGCATTTTCTGTTATTTTGTAGTCAACTACTCTGTCAGGTACTTATTTAAAGCTTTATTTTTTAACAATAAAAAACATGAGTGACTATTTTTTTGTTCAAGTTACATCATCTCTATAATGGCTTCAAAATAAGTAAATTTCAACCTATATTTTTCTTTTGATAAAATGAAATGAACAATTTTTGTTGCTTAAACGTCATGGCTTAAAAAATCACACAGAGCTTAAATAGAAAGCAATTTTGAAAAGTAGACCAATGTGCATGAATGCGCAAAATCTCGATGCGTTTATAAAGGCCGTCACATTTTTGTTTAGTGTTTTATTCAAAGAAACTATAGGTCAAATTTTGCTTGTTAGCCTGTAAATAACCTCAGATAGTGTAGCACATGTCATATAAAGTAATAATGTAAACATGTAAAATAAAGTAAGATTCACCACTTTTGGTTCTTCTAGTGATATTGATGACTATTACTGAGAACCACCTGTCCCTTGTCCACAAAGTGTTAATTTGTTATTGTGAAATTTATGAGGAGTTATGTGGGAAAGTATATTTGGTTGTTTACAACAGGTGATTGTACAGATGGATTTCAGTTTGCTGAATTTGAGTAGAACACTTGGAAGCTTGATTTTAACCTTGAATTGAATTTATAAAAAGACGAACAAATAAATTGCAACAGAAGCACAAATATAAAAATACTAATGAAATAATTTCAGTGTGCCAGTGTTATTTTAGTATTATTTATATACTTTTATAGTTTTTATTTTAAAATATATATATATATATATGTTTTCAGTTGAACATTCTGTAACACATTCACGTTTCAAAATGTTTAAGTTTAGGTTTTTCCATCTAATATATACTTCAGCTTTTTCAATTAACAAATGTTTTAATAGTCTTAGTTAATAAGAACACTGCAGTGTGTAAAACTAGATTTTAATCGGAGCCAGAACTGCATTTGTTGTTAATGACATGCCTGTTGTGATTATTTCTGGCACTATATCTCTTCACCTTATTTCTCCTCTTTTTTTGTCCTATGGAGTAGCCCAGCAGTCCAGCCAGTCTCCGATGTCTCTGACATCAGACGCTTCCTCTCCTCGGTCGTACGTGTCTCCCAGAATCAGCACGCCACAGACCAACTCAGCCTCCCTCAAACCGCCCCTCAGCACCACGCCGGTCTCCTCACAGACCAAGGTATACAGCAGTCAAATAGGATGACAGATGTCAAATGAAACTATGGCTTTGTAATGCACTCTCTCTCTTTCTCAGATGAACATTATGACAAATAAGTCCAGTTCTCTCCCTCCACCGTCGTCCCAGCAGTCCCTCCCCACAGACAAACATCACGACAACGGCAATTCTCCACGGACGCTGCAGAGACAGAGGTGACAGGGCGTTTGGAAGTGATTAAACAGATCCATCAGAACTTTGTTGAAGTTTATTAATACCCAAGTTTATTGGCTTATGGGTATTAACTGCCCACTGCATGCCATATTTGTAGCTTAAAGTGGCTTTTGTGGTGTTCAACTGCCATCTTCTGGCTGTTTGTGGTATTGCTGCTTTTGGTGTTCCTGGATCACATTAAAATGAATGTATTTGTAAAGAGTTGGTGCAGACAAAGTAGTTTTGTTTTTCATAAAAATGTAGACAGACATTGACCCATCCCGTTTGTGAATTGCAGCAGTCAGAGAAGTCCATCTCCGGCTTCGAACCACATGGGCAGTAACAGCAGCAGTAATAATGGCGGCAGCGGTGGAGGTCAAGGACCAGGTGTAGTCAGCGGAGCGATGCCCCCGGGTTCAGTACCTGCCGGCGCAGCCTCAGGCAGAGCAACATGTACCTTCACATCCACGCTGGCCGCGCACTTCAATGAGAACCTCATCAAACACGTGCAGGGGTGGCCCGCGGAGCATGTGGAGAAACAGGTATGTGAATCTGTTAATTTCATAATCTTATTTGTGCTTTGTATTTCATGACTATGATTTTATTTATTTAAAAGTTTGGGATCAGTAAGAGAATTTTTTTCTTAATGCGTTAAATGCATGAATTAAATTGATCAAAGGTGAGCGCAAAGACATTTATAATGTTACGTATGATATCTATTTGAATAAATGCTGTTCTTTGAACTTTCTATTCAGCAAAAAATCCTAAAAGAAAATTATCTCGAGCACCAAATCACCATATTAGAATGATTTCTGAAGGATCATGTGACACTGGAGTTGAAAATTCAGATTTAAATAAATTACTTTTTATACTGAAATTCATCAAATAACCCTTGGTGAGTATTAGAGACTTCTTTCCAAAAAATTTAAATATCATAATGACCCCTGATTTTTCAATTGTAATATACAACACTCACTACGTCTTAATATTTAAATTTGCTCAAAAATTTGAAATAAAGGAAAGAAAATGAAGAAACCGTAGTTTAGTTGGCACTATATATTCTGTCTCATCGAAAAATGGCACACAACATCTGAGCCATGAAGTATTGGGAATGCACAAAACATCAACAGTCCCCTGTCTTGATCCAAAAATGTAGATTTTTTTTGTTGCATTGCTAACTGTTCACATGTGGCTCTCCTGTCCAGGCCTCGCGGTTACGTGAAGAGGCTCACACCATGGGCAGCATCTACATGTCAGAGAACTGCACAGAGCTGAAGAACCTGCGCTCACTGGTGCGAGTGTGCGAGATCCAGGCCACATTGCGCGAGCAGAGGTGCTTTTCTCTTTCTCGTATAGCATTGCATGTGCATGTGCATGTGACGCCCATTATTGCTCATATGTACTAACTTGGTTCTCTTTCTCTACAGGATACTGTTTTTGAGACAACAAATTAAAGAACTTGAAAAGCTGAAGAATCAAAATTCCTTTATGGTTTGAGGAACTCTGGGCTTGCGATGTGGTCTTGAAACAGGAGGAGAGAAGGGGGGTAGGTGAATGGGCGGGCAAAACCCATTTCATGCGCGCGGAACCCTGGAGAACCAAAGTTCTGTTGCGTTCTGCTCTGGGCCCAGTCTTACATTAAACAAACTGCAGCGAGGTCTTGCTTGGACTGAGAGAGGGGAGGGGAGAGGGGTGCGGAGAGGTTTTCAGAGGAGCTGCCCTCGCCCCGTCCCTGTACATGTAGATGATTTGTAGATGTTATTTCCATGCTGTAAATATATTTTGTAGATGAAGCCATGGGAAGCCATGCCTATCAAAGCTTTTGACATCCAAACGTTAAACTAATCAGCACCGAGGCAGACTGGGATCTCAAGTGCCCTCATTGTCACCATATGTAGAACTCTTGACTGCAGATTTTTAAATGACATGATTAAAACAAAACAAAAAAGAAAGCAAAAAAATCTTCAGTTATACGATCGGTGAACCATTTGCCTTGAGCATGTACCAGACCTGCATGGAAAAGGTGGACTAGTCGACCGGGACATTTAACGAGGACGATGACGCGCACACTCTTTGTCTTCTCACGACCCTGCACACGTATCCACCGGTTCATTTCTCTTTCGCTACATATAAAAAATGGTAGTAATGCTACATGGTTATTTGGTTAGTTTTTTTTCTTTCTCTGGTTGCACTATAATAGTTTCATTCCCTCACCCCATGCCTTTTGAGGGGGTTTACATCATGTTTGTCCACAATGGTTCAGTGGTCTCCTACCTGCCCTAATGGCCCAGCGATATGCCCATGGTCAACACCAGTGCCTGCTTAAGTGATGGAGTGAATGTGAGCAAGAACGAAAGGAGAACAAGAATCATTCCTGCTGCTCAACCCATGTCGTTCCCCTCCCTCACCTCCCTTGGCAGGAGATGAAGACTGGTTGTCACCCAGAATCCCCTTTTCTTTTCTCTTAATCTTTCCAGGTTATTTTTTTCTTTTGATTTCTTTTCTGTACCCTTGTTTTGTTTAAAAAAAAAGCTGTACTTTAAAAAAAGAAAAAGGAAAAAATGAATGTGAGATGCAGTGGCGACTTGCGTTAAAAACCAGAGTTCATTCCTATGTACAGTTGCTAAGTAATAATGAAGTTAAAGTTTTATTAAAGTTGCAGTGATTACTAGTCTATCAGATATGTTGTATTCATAAATTATTACCACACATTTTCCTTTGCACCCTGATTGGATGGAATGGGGGGAGGGAGGGGGGAAGTGCTACTGGAAAACAGGAAACTGAGGGTCAGCCAAGGACTGGACATCACCAACCCTGTTATGCCAGGGTCAGGGCAGGGTCACCTGGGGTCGGAAGGTCAAATGTGAAATGTATGTATTGTAATAAACATGCTAAACTAAACACTTTTTGTTGTGCTTTTTTGCGGGGTGTATTTGTGGTCATTTGTGTGTACATGTAGAGTTTAACTAATACATTTAAATCAGACTTGAATAAGCTTAAAAGATGTGTTATACACAGTTTGGAGGACATTAAGGTACTTATTCAGTTATTTGGGTATCAGTTGATGTTTGTTTGCTTATTAAATACTGTGTCGATATTGGATATTTAATTGTTTGTTCTTTTACCCTATTTGTACATTTAATTTAACTTTACCATCTACTAGTTAATTTTTTAAAACACTAATAATTTAACACTATCAAATCTCAAAATTAATATTTGTTCATACAAGTGTTATTGTTAATTAGAACCGTTAACATTTATTTTCAGTAATTGAAATAAAGCTGACATACTATATAAATATTAGATGGAAAAACACAAGGTGAGAAATGTTACCTAGGAAACTAATTGAAATAAGTTTTTTTTAAGCTGATTTTTATTTTATTTTTTAAATGCACATAAAATGACTACAATTTAAATGAAGACTGAAAATAAATAAAAGCTAATTTAAAACATTAATGAATACCACATACACAGTATATACATAAACATCACTTTTCACACTGTCCATAATGTGATGCCTACATTCACTTATAGCGTTTAACATGCATGAATTTAATGTTTTAATTGATCTAAACCATTAATACAGGCCATTTATTGTTTATGTGGTCTAAACCATTAATACAGGCCATTTATTGTTTATGGTCCATAAATAATCTTCTAAATATAGTTGCATCCCTACTTTTAAAACTGTTTCTAAGAAGGTGATGTCCACCAGGAGCCATTGTTGTTTATTACAGAATTGTGAATCTTTGCTAGCTTTTTGTTTTACTGATGTGACTTAAAACCAGACAGATTTCTTAGGTTTTCCATTTTAAAAGTTGCATCATGTCAGATCTGGCCCGTGTTCCATGTTTCTCCAGTCTGTCCGGATATTCCAACACAAGGTACATCTGTGGAATAAAAACAACTGCAGATTATACTTTAAAATACACTTACTAAAAATAAATGTCATACTGCCTGTGTGGAGTGGAGACATAGAGAATCAACAGAGGTTGGAACACAACCATGAACTTTAAATAACTGAATGTCTCTCAACTAACAGCACATCAGCAGCATGAGTGTCCCATCATTTCAGAGCAGTTCAAAGCCGAGAGAAACGGTAACGGTCGGTGAGCCTGGATGTCTGTTCCCTATAGGACTCAGATGTGCCTCAGCTTGAGGTCTTGAGATGTGAAGAGTAGGTTATGCTGGCATGCTGAGTAACTCAACATCAAATGCTCAATGGGTTCAGCATATATAAACTCGTTATTAAAGCATGACACAAGGTTGCTGAAAGTCTTATGAAACTGCTTTTTAAGATGGTTTGCCATCTACTGGCATTCACACCCATTCACTAGCTATAACAACAACAATAATAAAGCATTCATTTCAGATATTTTTTTGAGTGAGCATTTTTAGTTGTATAATCAGGGGGTTTCAAACTGGGATCCCGGGACCCTCAGAGCTATAGGGCTGCAAGGGAGTGACGGGGTCTGTGGAAAAGTTTAGAGGAAAAACTATTATACGGTAATAATAATATGGTTAAAATAAGTTTAAAAATGAATAGAAATGTGATTAAAAATATTTATCCACCTATTAGATTAAATTACATTAAATAAGACATAAATTATTATAAATTAAATTAAATAATACAGTTAACAGTATTTCTATAGTGAGTGGAAAGAATATACTATAATAATGTAACTTAATATAAACTCGTTTTAGATTTATAATAGGCTATTACTTTTCAGTGTATAAATTGAGTGTTTGTAAAAGATAGATGCCTTTTAAATTTTAGGATGGGAATCCTTCAAACGAGGATTGTCATATTTGGGGGTCTTGTCACTGTGGCATCTACAAATTGAAAACCCCTGGTGTAGAGCTATCTAAAATGATATCGTTTGAAGGCTTGAGCCACTTCTATATCAGATCAGATTTATCACCCAAGTCAAATTAGCATAAAGTGTTCTCTGTATTCGCCCTACATGACCTTTTTTGTGGTTGATGATGTGTATAAATCATCCAATAAGTCTATAGCAAATGTCAGTAGCTACAGTTTCTTCTCTACTCCTCGCCGTAGCCATTAGCCAACTAATAGGGACTTTAAGCAACAGCCTCTGGTGGAACGGCAACGGCATTCTGTCGTTCTATTGCGCATGCGCGACATTAACTGCTACTTCGCGACGTTCTACTGTAACCGTCTACAACGGGAGAACAGCTGATTTGCCGTAGTCGATACTACGTGACAGATTAAGAAAGTTAATGTTATGTTTTAGGTTATGTGGCATTATAATCGTTTCTGTATATCATTAAATGCCCAAATCAACCCTTCTCTTACTTTTTAAAATCAGTTTATTTTTTGTATTTTGTCTGATGATTAAATTATCCCCTATGCCGTCCTCTTTACTGTTGCTTAGTGATTTTTGCGCTCTTTAGCTACGGCAGTTAACCGTTTACTTCCGGCTGCCGTTGCCGTTCTATCAGCAGCTGTTGCTTAAAGTCCCTAATAATGTTTTGGTAAGTGGTTGCTTTTTATCGAACTAGAACCAGAACCAGGACATGGCGAAAAAATAAAAACATAATTCCACTCATGGACAGCAGAGGGCGGCACCTGATCATTCAAACTGAAAGACTGCAAATCGTCTAACGCCGTTGTTTGAAATGTTAATTAACAGTTGTTGTTTTTTTACATGAAGTTGGAAGTGTTTATCTATAAAAAGTCTAATTTCACAGTCTCTAAAAGGGTTGGTGCCCTCTTAAACTAGCCTACCTATTACGAAAAACGTGTTATTTGGTAAATTATTGTAACGTGCTTGAGAACACTTAGACTGATGAAAGCCTTGATTACTGTATTCCTCATTATCTTGTGATTCCTCATAATTAGTAAGACTAGACTGTTCTTTAGAGTGGATTAGCCTACTGAAATATCTATACTGAATAGTCATTATTCAGAGTCAAACTACTTAACATTAAAGTTAATATGCTGAATTAGCTAAAGTGGGTCGAATTAAGAATGACTGCACAAAAATGTAACATTTCCTCCTCAAACAACTCACTGAGTGTGGCATTAGAAGTATCAGTAGGCTAGTGATGTTCCGTGGGCAGTTTCACATACGCTTGGATTAGTCTGTGGAGGTGTGAATCTCACCATTTGAAGGGAGGACTGGTTTTGAACTGGCGCCTCTGTGAAATTACCAACAATTAGGATAATTGCTGTCAATCCGGTAATTTCTGTAGGTCTCTGAATGTGTCCCCTGAAGCGGAATCGCTTGTCTTTAGCCTTTGACACTGAATCGATGGCCATCTATCAGATGTGAGCGTCTCCCAGTCTGTCTCTCATCATCAAACACTTCCACTGCCGTCCGTCTCTACCTCCAAAATAAACCACAGTATCTGCACATTCCCCGCACACTATCAAGACTTTTTTACGTTTAGTCACACAACAAAAAAACGTATTTTGGTTCACTAGCATTTTAGGCTTAAACTTGCCTCAATAAATTAATAATAGCCATAGACTGTTGCATCCTCATTTTCCAACAAAGGTAGCCTATCTGGCGATTTCTGAAGTGAATGCTGATTATGAATCTGATAGAAAGAGTAAAATTCATAAACATATGGTTGTATTTAAAGGAAAAAAGTTTATGGGCAAAATAATTGGGTGCTGAGCTAGACTGAGCTAAACTAACTGTTTTTATTCAAGTCAGTTAATTTCATTCAAATAAATTCTGTTTATATTAAAATATAATTTAACGTCACTGAATACATTAAAGCAGAGTTTTGTGCTTAAGCCTATAGCTCTTTAAAGTAACAATTGCGAGAATTGCTGTAAAAATTGGTATGATTAATAGCCTAAGTTATGACAACATATGTTTTACATTGCTTTAACTCGTCAAAATAAGTTAACCAATTTTCAACTTTTGTATAAGTTAGCCTATACAAGATTCACAAATCATTTAATGTAATTTAAGTTGAAATGACTTACACATGCAAGTTGA